ATGCGCGCAAAACTGGTTGCTAGTTAGCCTATTGTTAACGGCTGTGGCAAATAATCACAGGCTGCACAAACATTAAATGTACCCAGTCGTCAAATGTACGACTTATGGTACATTTCTGTCTGAACCCAATTTTGGTAAGCTCTCTCTGCAGACAGGCACAGAAGGCATTTTACAGCAGTTTTTGCAGGTTAAGTGAAATGACCTTTAAGTGTAAAATCAGTGGAGTGACCCTTTAAATATGCCTGTGTGCATGACTGACACACAAGAACACTATCTACATTGCAATAAGCCAACTATTTTTTACTACTATATTTCTACAGTTCACGTTAAAAACAATTACCTGAACTAAAACTTTAGCCCTTAACTCTCCTCACTAGCTTTTTGTCTTTTGAGTCAGAATATGCTTACACTCTGAGAACACAAACAGGACACATACATAAGAAAATCTTGCAACACAGATTTCCCAGCCCTTAGAATATATGTTAGTTGGCTATGGCTGTTTGCTGAATTTCTTTTCTCCTCCTATCTAACAGTATCTCTGTATTTCATCCCAGACATACTGAATACTGTTCTAGCAGGCAGGGCCCTCACTTAATTACACATTTGTGTAATTACTTTGCAAATAATAGTCAAACATTGTGTTCTGGCTTTAATGGTCCACAGGGGGCGATTGGTCAAACACGCCAACCTGAAGCTCAATTCAACAGTTTAATTAAGGTCTTTAGTGTGAAAGTGAGGTTTTAACAGTAGCTTGTGTGGAACGGATAGGAAATAATGGAAATAACCCTGTAATGAGTTGCAATTCATTTAAGTGAAAGGTGATTTTCTTTATTCCTGACAAGTCCCTCCTTTAGGTTATTTGCAGAATCTTCTTTCTTTCTCCTTAACATAGGTTTTCCATCTTTCTTTCCTTCCTCTGTCTTTTTTCCTTTACTTTAAATCATCACTTAACCTCTCTCTCCTTTGCTCCTCAGTAAAGTCTCCTCAGGAACGTTAGCTTCATTTCTCGTGTAGCAGATTGCTTTACTCAGCAGCTATTGTTATTTACAACCACAGGTTACAGGAGAGTAGAGGCTTATGTGTGGAAGGAAAAGTTTGTTTGTGTGCAGGAAACGCTGTCCACATTACCATAATTCTCTCTTAAATATCTTTTTGTTCCGCTCATCACCACAAATCTTCCTCCCTAAAAACAGCTCTCTTTTCCTGTTTCCTTTCTTCGGTACATCTCTCTCTTTCTAAGCAGTGATCATCAATCTAGCTTTGCCTCTACCTCTTGGACACGTGGGGCTCTCTTGCTTTCCATCATACATAAACATTAGGCAGAAACAATTACCCTGCCCGGCACATTGTACCAAGAAAGTTTGACATGAAAAACGATTGTTTTTCACATTCAATGGAATGAACAAACATCAAAAACAAGGTCTCCTGAAAGAGAGGAATGAAAATTTAAATATTAAAATTGCTAATTACTTGCTGTAGCAGGAGAAACTGTCAAATAGCCAATGTAACATGTCTACTTTTCCATCTTCTTACAGTACGTGGTCAATTTAATTATTTATATACTGGCTTTGGTTTCTTTTTTTTTTTACCTAACAAAACATATTACAAAGCAGTAATCCTATTTTATGAACTCTAAATCATAACAGTACAGGAGCAGAGAAGGTGTGAATTTCTTTACATCCAAACCAAAGTCTCCAGGAAAGATTTATGGTTATTCACATTTTTATAAAATAAAAAGGGTCTTTCAGCCAATCTGTCAAAACCAGTGGCTTCTAGTTGAATGCATGGTGCAGCACACATCCATGAGCACACTTAAAGGACAACTCCAGTGATTTAGTGTTGCACTTTCATAAAGCTGGGGTACTGCAAGAGAGAGTTAAGAAAAATGACTGGTCATTGCTGAAGCAGCAGAGGTTGATATATCTTGACTTTTATTCCTTAGTATAAATCAGTCACCCAAACTACTGGATCAATCTCTTTCCATAGTGCATCTTTTAATGTACCCTCTTTGCCTGGTAAATAAATTCCTCACTAGGAAGTTGCTACCCAAGCAGCTGGGTCATGTTGTTGCATAAAGGGCTGGGGTTATGTTATTTTCAAATGTAATTTATAGAAGTGAAATGCCATCAATTTTACACATTTAAACCTGTATTGGGGTGAAGTACTACAAATCTGAAAATAGGTTAAGCCATGTTGGATAAAGTCTGTTAAACTCCATGAGTTGAATTTGAAAATGATAAGATACAGTTGAAGTTCAAAGTTTAAAACAGATTTTTTTTTTTTTTTTTTTTTTTACCACTCCACACAGACGTCATGTTAACAAATGCTTGCTTTGATAAGTTAGTTAGGATGCACTTTATGTGTGACACAAGTACTTTTTTCAGTGGTTGTTTACAGATAGATTATTACACTTATAATTCACTACATCGCAATTCCAGTGGGTCAGAAGTTTATATACACTCAGTGGACTGTGCCTTTAAACAGCTTGGAAAATTCCAGAAAATGATCATCTGAGCCAATAGGAGGTGCAGCTGTGGATGTGTTTTAAGGCCTACCTTTAAACTCAGTCCAACCTCTTTGTTTGACATAATTGGCTGATTAAAAGAAATCAGCCAAGACCTCAGAAAATAACTGTGGACTGCCACAAGTCTGGTTCTGTCTCCTAGAGATGAACGTACTTTGGTATGAAAAGAACAAATCAATCCCAGAATAACTGCAAGGACCTTGTCAAAACTCTGGAGGAAACAGGTACCAAAGTATCTATATCCACACTAAAACGAGTCCTACATCGATATAACCTGAAAGGAAGAAGCCACTGGTCCAAGACCACCAATAAAAAGGCAGACTATGGTCTGCAGCTGCACATGGGGACAAAGATCTTACTTTTTGGAGAGGTGTCCTCTGGTCTAATGAAACAAAAAACAAACTGTTTGGCCATAATGATCATCGTTATGTCTGAAGGAAAAAAGGGGAGGCTTGCAAGCCAAAGACCACCATCCCAACCTTGAAGCACGGGGGTGGCAGCATCATGGTGGGGCACTTCACAAAATAGATGGCATCATGTTGAAGGAAGATTATGTGGATATATTGAAGCAGCATCTCAAGACATCAGAAAGGAAGTCAAAGCTTGTTCACAAATATGTCTTGTCCAAATGGAGATTGAGCCCAAGCAGACTTCCAGAGTTGTGGCAAAATGGCTTAAGGACAACAAAGTCAAGGTGTTGAAGTGGCCATCACAAAGCCCTGACCTCAGTCCAATAGAATATTTGTGGGCAGAACTGAAAAAGCATGTGTGAGCACGGAGACCTACAAACTTGGCTCAGTACCACCAGCTCTGTCGGGATGGACTGAAATTCCAGCAACTTATTGTAAGAAACCTGTGGAAGGCATCCAGAAACATTTGATTTAAACAATTTAAAGCCAATGCTACCAAATGCTAACCGAGTGTATGTAAACTTCTGACCCACTGGGAATGTGAGGAAAGAAAAAAAGCTGATATAATTCTTTTTCTTTACTATTATTCTGACATTTCACATTCTTAAAATAGTGATCCTAACTGACCTAAAACAGGGAATGTTTATAGGATTATATGTCAGGAGTTGTGAAAAACTGATTTTAAATTTGACTAAGGTGTTTGTAAACCTCAGATTTCAACTGTATCTGAGGGTGTTGATTCACAAAGAAGTGAGCTAACCAGACCTCTGTAGCCCACTACTCAATTCTGCTTGAGGCTGGCAGCTCAAGGCTACATTAGCTGACATTGGCATGACACACTTGAATCTCGGTTTGAATGGTTGATGGTAGACTTTAATTTTAGGCAATATAGGTGCTTGGTTTTGACAATATAGAGGAATGTGTGAAGTTAAAAAAAGAAAACGAGGGATATTTACTGATGTATGGTAGCTCATTTTTGGCACTAAACAGTGAAATTACATGTGTCCATATTTACTGAGGAGTCACGGTGGAGCTTTGTGTCGGAGAAAACAGGAAAAGGATTTGAGTGTTATGTCTCATGTAGTCTGAGATCAGTGAGGGGAGAATGGAAATTTATACAAATACCCTCAGCACCTGATTTATCGCCACTGCTACAAAGAAAACTCTGGCTGACATTTGACGTCAGGAGAAAGCAGGTGTAAAATTTGCAACCCTGCTGTTAGTCATCTGAGATCTCTGTGATGTAAAGAACATGATTGAGGAGGGAGAGCATGTATGTTAATTGCATCACTTCACAGAGGAGAATATGAAACCATGCTTCAACTACTATACGAAATATAAGATGATTTGACTGGCAGGAGGAATACATTGGATTTCTTCAACCATATTACAGTTCAGTTGCTGTAAGCTTACACTTTTTTACACTTCCTCTCGGTCCATACGTGTGCAGTGGCATGAAATTCTAAACTGAGGTGTATTCATGGCTGCGGCTGCTCATTTACATCATCAGTGTTGGTAAAAACACTGCTAAATTGAAAAATTGCAACTCTATATATTATAAAAACAAGCAAACTGTAAATGAAAAATTAAATAATCTTCTTTCCTGTATATTTTTAGGCAAGAAAACCACACTGAGCAAACGAGGGTTTGTATTGTCTGGGCCTCAGGCATGACAAAGAAAAACCTTATTGCAGTTCAATCACAGGCTACGCAGTCAGGCTCCATCAACACCTCACTGATGACAATCTCATCATCTCCCAGAGCCTGCACACACACACTCACTGCCACATTGCTATATGTGCGTGCATGCATTTGTGAATGTGTGCGCATTACGTGTGTTATGTTGTGAGATCATATTCATTGGTCGTCACTCATGGATATCAGAATTCTAAAGTATGTGCAGTATCACAGTAAGTGTATGTAAATCAAATCAAATCAAATCAAATTTTATTTGTATAGCGCCAAATCACAACAAAAGTCATCTCAGGACACTTTACAAAGTAAGGTCTAGACCTTACTGTTATCAATATTATTACATAGGGAAAACCCAACAAATCCCCCTTGAGCAAGCACTTGGCGACAGTGGGGAGGAAAAACTCCCTTGTCATTGTAATAATGAGTGTGTGATTATGTGGTCTGCCGGGGGAGCTTTTGGCCCCTCGTTTAAGGGTCAAAAGATTCTGATCAGCCCCAGACTCTATTAACAGAGCCAAAGAGGATGGAAGGGGTTTGCTTGTGCCGCTGAGTGGAAAATTGAGTTGATGTCTCAAACTAATCAAATCATGCCAAAGGTGAATTGAAGAACATGGGAATATGCACACATACACATACAATGCAAACAAACGGGGCTGACAAGTATGCAGGCGATCTTGCACAGTTGCTGACACACAGAAGATGTGGACTGAGCAGATGGCTGCAGAACAAAAGTCTGCAAGGGTTTCGGTGACAGCCTCACATCAGCATGGCTGTGTCAGGCTAACATTAGCATGGAACCCTTCAGGGAAATAATACAGCCATCTGTAACATACTTTATGTGCTGCAGAGACAGATTGAACCATTGCTCCTGTTGTAGTAAAACCAGAGAAACTTTAGCTGACTGGAAGGATGTTGCTGATGAAGGAAAAAAGACGTGAGGGATTTCCTTCCAACTGGTTAAACTTTATGGTGACGTGCTATGACAATAGGCAACTGTTCACCTCCTCATGTAGTTATTGCTTTAATATCACAGGCTCTGTTACTCACAGAGATTATTAAATAAAAAGGTGAAGGGCTGGTGTGTATGGGGGGGGTCTGTGAAGGTAAAAGGGATTCCCATTGGCCAACTCCACTCTGCTCTGACCTGCTGCTTTTCTTTAACTTTACACCAGCACAGAGTTCTCGTGGGGTCAGTGTTGCAGGCAGCCGGTGGTGGTGGTGGTGGGGTAACCCTAACAACCCTGTTCAGGTGTCTGCTGGTGTCCAGTGCCCCATGTTCTCCACCCCTCCTCCCCCCATTGTTTCTGAGCGCTAGGATGTGGAGGTTTTGGTTTTGGATTGAGGGTCCTTCTTGCCGTTCGGGAGCATAGGGGAGTCATTGGAGGTCTTGGCTGTTTTCCTGGGTGGACCCAGCTGAGCAACTTCATGTAGAGAGGGCTCTCTGTACATGGCCACTGGGGATGGAGAGAATTAGAGAATTAAATTATGTCATTCATAGGAAGACCCCACCCTTATTTTCTCAGTGTCTCCAGCTCAGATAGCGTGTCATCCTGCCATAGTGTCTTATCTGAAGCTACCACTAGACGTCACCAAAGTCAGCAACTAACAGATCTAACCACAGGGGGTTAGACTATGTAAACATGGCTTTGGTTATCCAAAATGTAATGTAAGCTTTAAGTAGACAAGAAAACAATTTTATATGAAAAATGTAGGGTAGAGGAAAAAGCCAAGTATATCCATACATTAAAGTAGAGCTCCAAAACAAACATTTTGGGCCTGGGAATGTCTAGATGGGCCTCCATTAGAAGTTTATGAAGAGTACACAAAATGCAGAGCAATACAATAAAATTAAAGATAACAGTATAATGGGTTGTGGTTACAGGTTAGCCCTATTAAACCTGTTGTATATAGGCCTCCAGCTACATACTGTCTGCTTTGTGATGCTTTATTTCTGCTTTTTAGTCAGTTTCACAGGTATAGAAGCTGTGCCACTGAAGTGTACTGTACTGCAACAACTAATCAATAAAAATCTATAATCAAAATAGTTGGCAATGAATTTAATTGTCGATTACTTGGGTTTAGTCGCATAGCTGTCTGAGACAGCCAAGAGTAGACACAGCTGGGTAAGCAAGTGGGTGGGTGCTACTGTTCTACACAGGTCAGTGGGTGGCAGTAATGCACATGCAAGATGGTTTGCCAGCCACCAATCAAAATGGCAGAGGCAGTGAATATTAGTGAGCATGGTTACAGGAGAGAAAAATGGATGAATTGTCTAAAGTTTGGGAGCAATTTATTTGACAATCAGAAAGAAGACCTGTCTGGTGCCAGATATGCAAAGCATCATCTGTAGCGGCAGGTGCGTATGACGCAAATGCCTTTGCATCTAAAGAAATGTCAAATGTCACATGTTATATATTTAGGAACATAATGGTAGGTTGTGTAGGCTGCTAACAACGGGTGCTAAATGCATTTGCATTTGTGTTGCTTTCATATAAACATGAAACCTGAACAACTGATCATTATATTAAACGCAATAAACAAAACTAAATTTTATCGGTATGTGCAGGAACATTGATGACACATGCAAGTTAAAGGGGATTGTGCAGAGTACATAGCCTAAGAGTGAATGTGCTGAGAATTGTTTAGTCAAAGTCAAATTTATTTTTAACCATCAGCAGTAGTAATCTTTTGTACTGGCCCTTTATGAACATTTCAAAAAATTTATGTTAAATCATTATTTTTTTTGTACTGTAAGGAGCGATAGTGCACTTTATAAATGCTCTATTCTGGAAGAAATAATTTTTTGTTTAATAATGCATGGCTTGAAAACATTGCATAAGCATTGTTTAGATGAATACATTTGTTTTTGTAGTGTGGGAAATACATGTTTACATTTTTATAAATCCAATTAATTGATTAATTTTAGAAATAATTGACAGATTAAAAAAATATTAAAATGATTGTTAGTTGCAGTCCTACTGTGCAAAGTTTTTTAAAATTTTATTTATATATAATCTTTCCTTTATTGCATGTGTGTTGACCTAATTTATAGTGAACTATTAAGGCTATATTAACAAATGCAGTTACATGGTATGTTTATGCATAAGCTGTAGAGTGTCCTTGTTTTCTAAAACTTTTATGTTAAGCTCATCAGACCAGTACGGACAAACATTGCCTTCAGCATTCTCTGCATGTTTTCTTCCAAATCTGTTTTACTACACCTAAGACATGCACACTGCTCCTTTCTCATTAATCAAGCTAACTCAATGTAATGTAACTCACCTTTGCAGCAATATTTGTAATTGTAGATAAGGTAAATTCTTCTTTTTAAGTAATGTTCCATTAAGTGATTGAATTATCCTTTGTAAATACTAATATAATGAAATAAAACTGTAAAACATACAATCTTTGGTAGGAAACTAGTGAGGACACTTAAAGGAAGTATTAAAATAGCAATATTCTAAAATCTGTTTTACACATGTAAATGTCTATTTACATGTTGCCACTGGTTTTCATATGACATAAACTGAATTTAACACTTTGATCACTTATGTTAGCTAGAATGTTCTTAGAAAATATCTTTTTGTATTTTGCATTTATAGTATGTTAAAACAGTAGCCTGTCCTCATACCCAAGGCATTATATACTGACAATATGTCAGGTACCTTTAGCGTGTCATATGAATGCCAAAGGCTGCCTTTTGTGTCCATATGAGCTGGTTTTCAATAGACTATCCACTCACAGTATTTGATGCCCAGGACAAGAGGTCACAGTATATGAAGGAAGAACATCTGTGCAAGGAAGTGGTTGGGGTTGATGGTGAGTCAAACAAACAAACTTTCCCAGAGTGGAGTATGCCTCCAGTGTGTAATGAAGTGGTTTTTAAAAAGTGTGTTTTAACCCAGTATGAGATGCAAAGCATTCGTTTTTGATGCCCCGGGAATGAGAATGTGTTGGACACAAACAGAATATGCATGGCTGTATAAATTAGTTAGGAGGGTCATGGAGCAAAAATTTGCTGTTAGTCCCCTGTTGACCCCAAAACTCCACCTTACACCTCATGCGCTTTGCATTTTTACCCTGTTACCTGGAAGTAAGTACAGATGATTCAAAACATGCCAGCTTTATTATATAACAAGAGACCAACCAAGAGACCATTTCATGTGCAGAAATGCTGCCTGCCCAAAGCTTTCTGTGTATTTGTTAGTAAGCATCAAAATAAAAGCTAGTATCTCAAAGAACAAGAATTTGACACAGGGTGGCGTACCTTCGATGAGTTTGGGCAGGAAGTGAGCAGCTCCCTTGGTCTTCTTAACGCGGTTCCCTTTCATGACCTGTCCGTCCCGGTTGATACCAATGTACCAGGCCCGACCCGACTGGGTCTGTCTGTACAGGATGGACGAGTAGGTGACGTAGTAGTTCTCAAACACACACTCCTTAAACTTGCACTCTGGTGTGAAGTGTTCCTGAAAAACACGCATTCATAAACAGAAAGTAGCCCACACATGAGACCAGAATAACACATTTAGAGTGTCTGCCATTTTTATCTCTTACATGATCTATATATTTATTCTCCAATTCTACTGGCTTAGCTGGAAATGGGAGGGAATGGGTGCCACATTTCAATGTGACAGGGTTACAGGAGCATCTGTGGTTGTGTTAACAAACTGCCCACACACCCACTGACAATCTTTGTCTAACATGCGCACATTTGCCACATGGACAGAATAGTTTGTGAGCCAAGATGCCATAACTCTGCCAGGTTGGTTTAGCTGTAGGTAAGGATCCGGCTGATTGTTTGTTACAGGCTGTAACAAATAATCAGCCGCATCCTTCACCTTTAATGAACTGTTGTTGGCCTTCAGCTCATACACACACACTCATACACACAGCTCTGCTATATGTCAACAAGGGGACACCCCACCTCCCTCCCCTATCTCTCCCTCTTATTACAGCTCTCACATATTCTTTCTTGAGCTCGTACTGTATTCTGTCTTTCCCTCACTTCATTCCCTCTGTCATTTGGTAACCTTGTTGAGGAACAAACCAATTTACAGGATTGATTTGGAGCCTTGATGTGACTGGTGAGCAGAAAAGGCCTGAATAAGGAGTTTGCTCTCTCCCTCCCATCCATTTCCTCCCTTCTCACCCCCTCATCTATAGCTTCTCTCTCTCTTCCTCTCTCTGTCAGCCACCTCAGGCACTGGGCCTTAACGCCTGCCTATAGCTGCTGTACTGCACATAAACAAGCTAATTACACTGACTGTATTGCCCATTCTTTAATCACACATCCATTCACTTAGGCAGCTATTCATTTCCTCACCCACCCATTAACTCTAATAGCACAGAGGAAAATCAGAGGCAAGTCAAGATTATTTATATAACACATTTTCATATACAAAGGCAATTCAAAGTGCTTAACACAAAGGTGTGGAGTCACAAAGGTCATCAATCTGCTATTATTACTTGTGTTGATGCGGCTCATTTTCTCTCATTTTCTCTGCACTTGCCTGGTCATCATGGGCAACATTCATTAATTGATTAATTATGCGAATTAAACTGAATCTGCCCATGTGAGCAAAGTGTGTGTGTGTGTGTGTGTGTGTGTGTGTGTGTGTGTGTAAATAAATGTGTGTTGACCAATTCATGACCAACTTTTTGTAGAAGGATATTTTTTTGATTAGTCACTCCCATCCTGGGAAACCACTGCAAGCAAGCAACTGAAGAAAGAAACAGACACTGGCTTTTTAAAGTTTCTGGTTAAAGGAGAATATGTTGTGTGGCCAGCATTATGTTGCACTGCAACAGCATGAAGGACAATTCAAGTTTTTGTCTTTTGTTTCAGTTGACCAGAAATGAAAAGGTCTGAAAGCCTATCAGTAATCTTTTGTAATCACATGCACATTTAGTCCTGAGGCTTCTTTTTTTAAAACAATACCAAAAAAATATAATATCACTTTATTTATGTGTAAATAATAAGGGTGAAAATGACCCTTGGTTTTCATCATCTAGGAAAAACATATGCATCCCCTAATGGATATTAATGGAGATATTTTTCTTTTTATTTGCAGAATATTGTTAAATACTAATTTGGGAAATTCTATGAAATAAATTTAATAGTTCAAACATTAATTTGTAAATCCTTTTGTACATAAGTCTGACAACACAAAAAAAAGTTTCACTTATTGCAATTTCACAAGGAACTCACAGGAGATGGGTTAAATAAAATATTCAAGCTCCAATAATGCTGGACAAAATGTAGGATTTTCAAATGTGAGTCCTCTGTTCAGCAAAGAAGAAGGAGCCTCTGCCTTTTAAGTCATGGCTGTTAAAGGTTGGACCTCTGTTCCATTGGACCTGACATCTCTGGACACTGTGGATATATTTGAAAAGCATCTTTATAGACTTGCCTTTTTTAAAACTATCATTATTTTATTTATTATGTCTGAGCACCTAATTACCCTCATCCTAAAGACAAGCAGAACTTTTTTGTAAATCATTGATGCACTTCCTCTGGTTTTCAGCAGGGGCTGCTCCAAACACACAGGCAGTTTGGGGAAGCTCCAAAAAAAAATTAACTTGCATCTGTCTACTCACCACTCCACAACACTCAGATTCCCCCAAAGGAACATATTTATCATGCTGAAAACCACTGGAATTATTGAACAACCACAAAAATAGAAATCTATTTCTTTATATGCTTCATTTTCTGCACCATATTCAATTAAAATATTTATGTCCTGACTTCACAAAAAATCCTCATCTTCTTTGGTTATGATGCTTTTCAGTGTAGGTGCTGCGGTGCTACATCGAAGTTGACCTCAGTATGCAGGAAAAAGAATATGGGTGTAGAAACAGCAAAAAAATAAACAAAAAAAACGTACTACTTAGAAAAGCAGAGAAACACACAATCAAATCAGGTACACACAGATCCTTGCTTGTGTTTAATGTATGTACATCCACTCATGCATGTTTTCTTTTGTGACAGAGAGACATGACAGATCCCTCTTATATCGGTGGGAGGCCACCCGGCACCAGATGACATACAGTAGATAGCCACACACACACACAGCGCACATGAACAGTGACAGATGAACCGGTTGCCTCCCTCATCACTCACTACCACAGGCAGAAGAGAGAAAGGGAGCAATGGGGGGGGTACAATAAAACCAGGGAGCAGAAGCTGAAAGTTCAGCAAGATTACTCTCCTGTAACAACACTCACCCTCATCTCATTTTCATCCCAGCACCTAAAGACATTATACAGCCCTGTTCGCTGCCATTAACCATTAAACCTCACGTGAGATGAGCTGGGGAACTGATTCTATGTAACACCTCTGTGAAAAGTCAATAGACATTAGGGCAAAAAAAAAACCCAGATTAGGTTTAGACTGGACATGTGATGAAGTGATATAACGGACTTACCAGCTGCGATGGCAACCACAGGTTAATCTAGTGGCTTTAAGTCACAGACACTTATCAACTTTGTCCCAAAGGACAGTATTTTACAGTGTCAACAGGGCACATATAGGTTAGCTGGTGTTTGTGTGTGTTCATGTGTTTGTACTGTACACAACTGGGGGAATACTTGAAATGTGTTGAATTCTTTACAACTTTCATGACATGAAGTTTGTAGACACATATTTCAGCACATAAAACTTGTCAGCACTCAAAGCCTGTCACATTTGTAACAGGATCAAATGCACACCTGGGGTTAGATGGCTTCATTCAAGCAGTGTCAATGTACCTCATGACTTGATTCCAAACCTCTGAAATATGGCCTACTAAAACATCCTTGTAAATGGAAAGTATAAAAAAAACCACTTGTTTAGTTCTCTTCTTTTCTTTTTTAGCTGCCCTGAGGCTCCAGAAACAAACTGTAAACACAACCAGGAAAATGATCATTAACTTTCATTAGAACTTAGAACTCTGACTTTGTCACGACCTGAGGGAAATACCAGGTTCTTTAGCTGCTAAATGCACCATTATATTAACTAGCTAGTGACTTTGTGTGTGCTTTGGATTTATCAGCTGAGCGATAAGAGTGAACCAATACAGTAACTTTGCAAGCCTGACAACAAAGTATTAAAGTGAATTTTATAGTCTCATTTAAAACTCAGTAAAGGCTATTTTATGGCGTTCTTTGTTGCATGGGGATGTGAAGGTCATGTTATGACAAAGGTCAGAAGGTCCAGTTTCCTTCAGAACTTCATGTCAGCCAGCTGTCAGTCTGTCAGATCACATCTTCAGCCACACTCTCTGCCCTGTCCCGCCTCTTCCTTCACCTCACAATCCAATAAAACAAAGACTGTCATAAAAATATCCTGCAGGGCAAAAAAAGATTTGATGGATAACTTGGGTTATAAAAATATATTGAACTGATCGTGGTTTCTTTCTTTCTAAAAGTACTTTTTTCAGTGGAGTTTTTGTGATACTGTGAACAGAAGTAGCTTGAGATTGTGACATTTAATGGGCCCAAGATGGATGTATCTGCACATGATGGGATATATCTCAAGAATTTTTTATCATAGATATGTATTTAGAGCATCAGAAGACCATTTTCAGTGACTTCCTTTGTGTTAATAAAGCTGTGATCTGTCATTACAACATGAGGGCCTAAGAACACAAGATTCTGGTTGACGATGACATGGGATGTGTTTGTGCCTGTGCAGTTAATAGCGAAATATTTATCTACAGATGCAATTTGTGTCAGAGAGACAAGAATCAGCACTAAAAGCACACAGAGCAAGGTTGGAAGCACAAAGCTGATTGTTATCTGAGCAAATGAGCAGAAAAACAGCTTTGAGGACAAACAGTTGAGGGAAGCATCAGAGGAGCTTGCAAAATAATTGTCTAAAGATAGGAGTAGTTACCACTTATTAATTTATGCATGGGCCACATTGCTGGTCATTTAGTCAGACACATCAAATCTTCCATTTCTAACCCTGATTTTCTGCCAGATCTGGCTGCATTTCGTTCCTTCTGCTAGTTAACGCTTGTCTTCCCACCGGATCCGGCTGTGCTATCCGATGCATCCCACATGTGGCTCTCTGGTCAGCTTCGCTAAAGATATGCATCTAGTCTGTTTTTGACAGATGCCACATCTGGGGTGCTTCTGGCAAAGTATGACCCACCAATCAGATTGCCCCTTCCCCCTATGTGAAACATAGATAGGTTATAAAGTGATTAAAATACATAAATAAATAAATAGAACAGGGTAGTTGGCCTGAGTGGTGACAGCTGGAACGAGTGCCACCTAGTGAAATTCCAGCTTAATACACAATATTTTGTTACTGTTAAACACGTACGATGTTAGTTACATTGTGTATCTAGGATTGAAAAGTAAGACCACACATCTAAATTAGACTCACAAAACGGCACATTTCTCTTCATGACACAGTTATTTTTGAATGGTCGGACAGTTCCCCGAGCGCACCATTAATCATAGACCTCACAGCAACCTCATA